TTTCTCTAATGACCAATGATGATGAGCATTTTTTCATATGTCTGTTGGCCTCGTGTATGTCTTCTTTTGTAAAGTGTCTGTTCATATCCTTCGCCCATTTTTGAATGGGCTTGTTTGTTTTTTTCTTGTAGATCTGTTTTAGTTCTTTGTAAATTCTGGATATCAGCCATTTGTCAGATGGGTAGACTGCAAAAATTTTTTCCCATTCTGTTGGTTGCCGATTCACTGTACTGACTGTTTCTTTTGCCGTGCAGAAGCTGTGGAGTTTGATTAGGTCCCATTTGCCTATTTTGGCTTCTGTTGCCATTGCTTTTGGTGTTTTGGTCATGAAGTCCTTGCCTACGCCTATGTCCTGAATGGTTTTGCCTAGATTTTCTTCTAGGGTTTTTATGGTGTTAGGTCTGATGTTTAAGTCTTTAATCCATCTGGAGTTAATTTTGGTGTAAGGTGTCAGGAAGGGGTCCTGTTTCTGCTTTCTGCACATGGCTAGCCAATTTTCCCAACACCATTTGTTAAACAGGAAATCCTTTCTCCATTGCTTGTTTCTGTCAGGTTTGTTGAAGATCAGATGGTTGTGGGTATGTTCTATTTCCTCTGAGGCCTCTGTTCTGTTCCATTGGTCTATATCTCTGTTTTGTTACCAGTACCATGCTGTTTTGATTGTAGTATAGTTTGAAGTCCGGTAGTGTGATGTCTCCTGCTTTGTTCTTTTTGCTTAGAATTGACTTGGCTATGCAGGCTCTCTTTTGGTTCCATATGAAGTTTAAGGTGTTTTTTTCCAGTTCTGTGAAGAAGGTCATTGGTAGCTTGATGGGAATAGCGTTGAATCTGTAAATTACTTTGGGCAGTATGGCCATTTTCACGATGTTGATTCTTCCTAACCATGAACATGGAATGTTTCTCCATCTGTTTGTGTCCTCTCTTACTTCGTTGAGCAGTGACTTGTAGTTCTCCTTGAAGAGGTCCTTTACGTTCCTTGTTAGTTGTATACCTAGGTATTTTATTCTCTTTGTAGCAATTGTGAATGGTAGTTCCTTCTTGATGTGACTCTCTTTAAGTCTGTTACTGGTGTATAGGAATGCTTGTGATTTTTGCACGTTGATTTTGTATCCTGAGACTTTGCTGAAGTTGTTTATCAGTTTCAGGAGATTTTGGGCTGAGATGATGGGGTCTTCTAGATATACAATCATGTCATCTGCAAACAGAGACAATTTGATTTCCTCCTTTCCAATTTGAATACCCTTTATTTATTTTTCTTGCCTGATTGCTCTGCCTAGAATTTCCAGTACTATATTGAATAGGAGTGGTGAGAGAGGGCATCCTTGTCTAGTGCCAGATTTCAAAGGGAATGCTTCCAGTTTTTGCCCATTCAGTACGATATTGGCTGTTGGTTTGTCGTAAATAGCTTTCATTGTTTTGAGATACGTTCCGTCAATACCTAGTTTATTGAGGGTTTTTAGCGTAAAGGGCTGTTGAATTCTGTCAAAAGCCTTCTCTGCATCAGTTGAGATAATCATGTGGTTTTTGTCTTTGGTTCTGTTTATGTGGTGAATTAGCGTTTATGGACTTGTGTATGTTGAACCAGCCTTGCATCCCCGGGATGAATCCTACTTGACCATGGTAGATAAGCTTTTTGATGTGCTGTTGCAATCGGCTTGCCAGTATTTTATTGAAGATTTTTGCATCTGTGTTCATCATGGATGTTGGCCTGAAGTTTTCTTTTTTTGTTGAGTCTCTGCCAGGTTTTGGTATGAGGGTGATGTTGGTCTCATAAAATGATTTGGGAAGGATTCCCTCTTTTTGGATTATTGGGAATCATTTCAGAAGGAATGATACCAGCTCCTCTTTGTATGTCTGGTAGAATTCGGCTGTGAACCCATCTGGACCTGGGCTTTTTTTGGGTGGCAGGCTCTTGATTGCTGCCTCAACTTCAGACCTTGTTATTGGTCTGTTCAGGGTTTTAGCTTCTTCCTGGTTTAGGCTTGGGAGGAGGCAAGTGTCCAGGAATTTATCCATTTCTTCCAGGTTTACTAGTTTATGTGCATAGAGTTGTTTGTAATAATCTCTGATGATGGTTTGAATTTCTTTGGAATCTGTGGTGATATCCCCTTTATCATTTTTTTATTGCATCAATTTAGTTATTCTCCTTTTTTATTAAGCTGGCTAGTCGTCTATTTTGTTGATCTTTTTGAAAAACCAGTTCTTGGATTTATTGATTTTTTTGAAGGGTTTTTTTGTGTGTCTATCTCCTTCAGTTCTGCTCTGATGTTATTTCTTGTCTTCTGCTAGGTTTTGAGCTTTTTTGATCTTGCTCCTCTGGCTCTATCAATTTTGACGATAGGGTTTCAATTTTAGATCTCTCCTTGCTTCTCATGTGGGCACTTACATATTTTCCTCTAGAGGCTGCTTTAAATATGTCCCAGAGATTCTGGTATGTTGTGTCTTCATTCTTGTTGGTTTCAAAAAACATTTTTATTTCTGCCTTCATTTCATTGTTTATCCAGTCAACAGTCAAGAGCAAGTTGTTCAGTTTCTATGAAGCTGTGCGGTTCTGAGTTAGTTTGTGAATTCTGAGTTCTAACTTGATTACACTGTAGTCTGAGAGATTGTTATAATTTCTGTTTTGCATTTGCTGTGATTTCCTTCCAATTATGTGGTCAGTTTTAGAGTAAGTGTGATGCGGTGCTGAGAAGAATGTATATTCTGTGGATTTGGGGTGGAGAGTTCTGTAAATGTCTATTAGGTTTGCTTGTTCCAGGTCTGAGTTCAAGTCCTGGACGTCCTTGTTAATTTTCTGTCTGATTGATCTGCCTAATATTGAGAATTGGGTGTTAAAGTCTCCCACTATTATTGTGTGGGAGTCTAAGACTCTTTGTAAGTCGTTAAGAATTTGTCTTATGTATCTCGGTGCTCCTGTATTGGGTGCGTATATATTTAGGATTGTTAGCTCTTCTTGTTGCATTGATCCTTTTACCGTTATGTAATGTCTTTCTTTGTCTCTTTTGATCTTTGTTGCTTTAAAGTCTATTTTATCAGAGACGGGAATTGCAACTCCTGCTTTTTTTTGCTCTCCATTTGCTTGGTAAATCTTCCTCTATCCCTTTATTTTGAGCCTTTGTGTATCCTTGCATGTGAGATGGGTTTCCTGGATACAGCACACTGTTGGATTTTGGCTTTTTATTCAATTTGCCAGTCTGTGTCTTTTGATTGGGGCATTTAGTCCATTTACAATATTAGTCCACATAATATTGTTACGTGTGAATTTGTTCCTGCCATTTTGATGCTAGCTGGCTGTTTTGCCTGTTAGTTGATGCAGATTCTTCAATGTGTTGATGCTCTTTACCATTAGGTATGTTTTTGGAGTGGCTGGTACTGGTTGTTCCTTTCTATGTGTAGAGCCTCTTTCAGGAGCTCTTGTAAAGCAGGCCTGGTGGTGATGAAATCTCTGAGTACTTGCTTGTTCGCAAAAGATTTTATTTTTCCTTCACTTAGGAAGCTTAGTTTGGCTGGATGTGAAATTCTTGGTTGAAAGATCTGTTCTTTAAGGATGTTGAATATTGGCCCCCACTCTCTTCTGACATGTAGGGTTTCTGCTGAGAGATCTGCTGTGAGTCTGATGGGCTTCCCTTTGTGGATAACTCGACCTTTCTCTCTGGCTGCCCTCAGCATTTTCTCCTTCATTTCAGCCCTGGTAAATCTGACGATTATGTGACTTGGGGTTGCTCTTCTTGAGGAATATCTCTGTGGTATTCTCTGTATTTCTTGGATTTGAATAATTGGCCTGCCTTGCTAGGCTGGGCATGTTTTCCTGGATAATATCCTGAAGAGTATTTTCCAGCTTGGATTTATTCTTTGTCACATTCAGGTACACCTATCAAACGTAGATTAGGTCTTTTCACATAGTCCCACATTTCTTGGAGACTTTGTTCATTCCTTTTCCCCCCTTTTTCTCTATCTTGCTTTCTCATTTTATTTCACTGAGTTGATCTTCGACCTCTGATATCGTTTCTTCTGCTTGGTCAATTCGGCTTTTGAAACTTGTGCATGCTTCGCAAAGTTCTCATGTTGTTTTTCAGCTCCATCCATTCACTTACATTCCTTTCTAAGTTGTCCATTCTCAGCATTTCATCAGATCTTTTTTCAAGGTTCTTAGTTTCTTTGCATTGGGTTAGAACATGTTCTTTTAGCTCACAGAAGTTTCTTATTACCCACCTTCTGAAGCCTGATTCTGTCATTTCATCACATTCCTTCTCCATCCAGCCTTGTTCGCTTGCTGGTGAGGAGTGTGATCCCTTGGAGGAGGAGAGGTGTTCTGGCTTCAGGTGTTTTCATCCTTTTTGTGCTGGTTTCTTCCCATCTTTGGATTTATCCACCCGTCGTGTTTGTAGTTGCTGACTTTCAGATTGGGTCTCTGAGTGGACATCCAGTTTGTTGATGATGAAGTTTTAAGGGTTATTGCTGAGTTTAAAATGAGGAAACTGAGGCCAGTATAACAAAATTAAATGCAATTTATTCAGCTTCCAAGTGAGGTTCCCTGGTCAGGGGAAAGGGGGCCAGAGAAGTCCTGCTGACTTCCTGGGGTGTGGGGTTTTTATGGCTAGAAGGAACGAGCAACAGCTGGGTGCTCTGATAGGGTCCAGTGGAGCAGGATTGAGATGGGGCGGGCCGCTATTGGTTCGTGGGTTGTTGGATGGGTTTTCCGGTGCGAGAGCTGGCCAGGGTTGCATTAGCTGAAGCCTTCCAAGGGAACCATGTGGCAGAGCTAGGTGCCAAGTGCCAAGCCTGGTGCCGGGTGCAGAGTCAGGTGCTGAGTGCAGGGGTGGGTGTGTCCGACCTCCCAGCGAGGCAACCGGCCTTACATTCCGACCCTTTTGATGATATCGGACGCCGCTTCTTTCTGGCTGCTTCCTACTGAATAGGGGCGGAGTGAGGGAGAAGGGTCAGTTGGCTGGTGCCTTGGTTGGGAGTTGGACATAGGGGTGAAGTAGCATCTGGTTTACGGCCACCCTGGAAATTTCGCTCATGAGGGCTTGTAATAACCTGAGGAAAAAATGGGCTAGCATTAACAGAAGACAGACTACGATGATGGGAGTGATAATAGGGGTTAGCCAGGTAAGCATGGGGGATTGCTACCAGTTGAGAGGCGAGACTGATGCATTTTGCTTCTTGCGGAGGTCCTCTTGGAGGCGATAGAGAGTGTTGACATTTTCTTCCACAAGGCCTGTTTCATTGATGTGATAGCAGCATTGCTCCTGAAGAAACAGACAGGTATCTCTCTCTTCTGCTGTCAGCAGGTCAAGGGCCCACTGGTTCTGGAGAGTTACCTGGGCTAGTGATGTGATTTGTCGCTGGAGGGAGGCCAGGGAGGTGGCCAACGCTTCGATAGCCATGCGAAGCTTGTCCTCTAGTTAAGTGGCTAAGGTGACACTGTAGCCTAGAGCACTGCTACCCAGCCTGGCCGCCACCAGAGAGGATGCTAGAGAGAGACCAACGACCGTTGGGAGGAAGACTGGTCGTCTGTCTTGGTAATTAGGGGAGGGTGGAAGGAGAGATAGAAGTTCGGCCTGTCAGTATACCTCTAACTGCGGGACCAAGGTGACAGACACACAAGGGAAATGGAAGGAGGCATTAATAAATTTAGTTAAGCCGGGCACGGTGGCTCAAGCCTGTAATCCCAGCACTTTGGGAGGCCGAGGCAGGTGAATCACGAGGTCGAGAGATCGAGACCATCCTGGTCAACATGGTGAAACCCCGTCTCTACTAAAAACACAAAAAATTAGCTGGGCATGGTGGCACGTGCCTGTAATCCCAGCTACTCAGGAGGCTGAGGCAGGAGAATTGCCTGAACCCAGGAGGCGGAGGTTGCAGTGAGCCGAGATCGCGCCATTGCACTCCAGCCTGGGTAACAAGAGCGAAACTCCGTCTCAAAAAAAAATAAAATAAAATAAAATAAATTTAGTTAAGGTTACATTACACCAGAAATATTCTGGTAGCATGTAGAGGGAGGATTTTACCTTTACTGTGGTGTTACAGCTGGGACTGGAGCTGCTGGCTGTCTCATAGCAGAGAGAGAAATTATGAGGGTGTACTTGGAACAAGGGGATATCCGTTAAGATGGTGCCAGGTCCTGTAGGTGACTAACAGATTGAACCCGGACCTGAGGGGAACTGCAGCTAAGCGGGGGTTGCTGAGAGAGGCACATAAAAAGCAGTTGATTATATTCATGGCTGTAGTTAAATTTAACATGTTGGCTCCCTGCTGTACTAGAGTCAAGAAAGAGAAAGGTTGAGAGGTGCTGTCTGAGGGTTTGAATTGATTAGTTAGGGTGGCTTCATTTTGCAGGATTGTATGGCTTACAGAACTGAGCTATTCTGTTGCTTCAGAGACGATGCAGGTATAGGACTGGAATATTAGCCATGTTCCCTGAGGGTGGCTCCAGGTATAATCTTCATAGACTTTACCGGACACTCCTGCATCCCAACAGCTGTGCCAGGGGTCGCGGATATTCAGGGCTAAGGAACCATTGCTGAAGTGAGTGAGCATGCAGTTGGGACAGCTTGGAGGCTGTGGCTTGTGAATAACACAAGAGCTATATGGGCACCCACCGTAGGTGGTGTTCCACCAGTGACAGTAGTCCTTAGTTTGGTCATATAGAAAACACAGCCCGTGCCGAAAGTGAAACCCATGATCGCTACTGAGTCCGGCGCTTTTACTGTGCGGGATGAGGATGGAGACAGTAGACCGATGGCCGCCCGTTTGGCAGTTTGCCTGGGCAAGATAATGGGTCCTGTTCGTGGGGCCCTCAGTCCAGGATTCCTGGATGTAGAAGCGCCAAACATATGAGTTGGCCTCAAGAGGAGATATCAGAACTACTGTCACAAGGGGGATCTGAAGGGTTAGGGGGCGATGGGTCAGGGCCATGGGTGAGGTGGAGGCATGTGGGGCCCAGGGATTCAGATTTCCACTGATCATTTTGGGGGCCAGTTTGAGGCAGGACACATGGTACCATGGAGTGTGACCCAGGAGTTTGGCTGCTGTGGGGGTGGTTAGGATAACACTGTGGGGTCCCGACCATCTGGGTTGCAAGGATCCTGGCTTGAGTTCTCAGAGGAGAACGCTGTTGCCCGGTTGGAGAGGCGCCACTGGGTGGGAGTCCTCTGGTCCTGGAACGACAGGGTGGGAGCAGTCTGCGTGCTCCCTTAACAGGTGGCAGAGGAGGGAGAGGAAGGGAAGGTAGGAAGCCAGTGGAGAGGGGTTTACAGGGAGGTTGCGAGAAACCAGGAAAGGCTGGCCGTACAGCAGTTCCAAGGGGCTAAGGTCTGTTGGCCCCCATAGGGTGGCCTGGACCCAGGCCAGGGTAAGAGGTAGGATTATGGGCCAAGAGAGTTTTGCCTCAATAGCAAGTTTGGCCAAATGGTCTTTGAGGATGCTGTGGGCCTGTTCAACTTTATTCGACAACTGAGGATGATAAGGGATGTGCAGTTTCCAGGAGATGTTGAGGGACTTGGCGACTCGCTGGATTACTTGGGCTGTAAATGCTGGACCATTGTCTGACTGGATGGTGGCAAGTAGGCCGGAGCAAGGGATGATTTCTTGAGTAAGGAGGGAGGCCACCCTTGTCTGCTGTCTTCCGGGAGCTGGGGAAGGTAACCTGTAAAGGTATCTACAAAAGTATCAATGCAACCTGTAAAGGTATCTACAAAAGTTAGCAGGTAGTGGAGCTTTTTGTGAGTGAGCATATGAGTGAAGTCAGTTTGCCAGTCTCGGGCTTTTAGGTTGCCACACATTTGGTGAGTAGGAAACTGTGGCCTTAAACCTCCCTCAGGTGAGACCTTAGAGCAAGTAACGCATGCCTTGTGTACCTGCTCAATTGTTTGTTGCAGACCTGGCGAGAAAAAGAGGGGCTGTACAAAGCGGTGTAATGCCTTAGGCCCTATGTGTAAGGATTGGTGGATTTCAGCAATAATTTTAGGGGCCTGTTCCCGGGGAAGGGCGATTCTGTTATTTAGGAAGATCCAGCCCTTATTAGATTCTGTTACTCCTTTTAGTGTAAGGGCCTGTTGTTCTGATGGTGAGTATACAAGCTGTGTGGCTGTGGTAAGGAAGAGAACAGGGGTAGGGGTTAACTTGGCGTTAGTTAAAGATCTTGCTGCTCTATCTCGGGTGATGGCATCATGCTGGGCCCGGTATCCTCGGCAGTGTATGACTGTAACTTCCCTAGGCAATGATAAGGCCTGTAAAAGGTTGGAGATCTGTGTAGCAGAGTCACCGCTCTCTCCAGAGGGCAGAGTGGTAATGGGTAATAAGAAAAGCATATTTTGAGTCAGTATAGATATTTGCTCACTTTCCCTGTGCTAGTGTGAGAGCTCGGGTTAGGGCAATGAGCTCTTGTGGTTGGTTTGTGATGTGGTTCCGTCAGGGAGGTGACATGGCTTAAGGGTGGCTGAATCTGCAACTACCACATAGGCTACCTTTCACCTCCCGTCGGCTGTTATTACTGAATTTCCATCCACATAGAAAGTAAGGTCTGGATTAGGCAGGGGAAAGTTGGATAGGCCCTCCCAAGGTTTGGCAAGTGCATCCGTTAGTTCAGGGCAGGAGTGCGCTGGGGAAGGAGGAAGGGATGGAAGAGGAAGCAGGGTAGCCAGGTTGACTGGGGAAGTAGGGTGAGGGCTGACTGAAGGATTCTCAATGAAGAGCCAGGTGGAACTCCTGTAGATGAGAGAGCCCTAGGTGAGCGAGGGATTTGTGGGAGAGGAGGTCCGTAAGCTGGTGAGGAGAGAACACTGAGATATGCTGGCCCAGGGTAAGTTTTAGGGATTCCTTGGTAAGTTCTATTGCTGCTCCCAGGGTTCACAGGCAAGGCTGCCACCCCCTGACCGTGGGGTCAAGTTGCTTCGATAAGTAGGCTACAGGGCAGAACGCAGGACCCAGGGGTTGGGTTAGAACCCCGACAGTAATGCCCTGTTTCTCATCAGTGACAGATAAAAGGGGCAATTGAGGTCCGGCAGATGAAGTGGGGGTGCGGTGGACAGAGCAGTTTGGAGGGTTTTAAAAACCTGTTTTACAACCTCAGGATGGGAGAGGGGTCCTGTGGGGGTGTCCTTAGCCACCACGTACAGAGGTTTAGCTAGAGAGGCAAAGTTCGGTATCCAGTGGTGGAAAATCCTACAAATCCTAAAAAGGAAAGAATCTGGTCGGCAGTCTACAGGGGCTGCAGTGAAAGAAGTGCCTTTTGGCGATCTGTTGTTAGGCTTTTAGTTTTGGGGGTGAGGCAGATGCCCAAATAACCACCAAGGTGACTGATAACTGCTTTGGAGGGAGATAATTGGTATCCCTGAGATCCGAGGAAGTTAAGGACAGTGGCAGTGTGCTGCTGGGATAGGGAGAGGGACGGGCTACAAAGTAACAGGTCATCCACATACTGGAGAAGGAGACTGGGTTGAAGGGGGCAGGAGCCAAGATTGGCTGCCGAGGCTTGTCCAAAAATGTGAGGGCTGTCTGGGAATCCCTGAAGACAGGCCCATCTAGGTAAGCTGTTGTGACAGGTTGGTGTCAGGATCAGTCCAGGTGAAGGCAAAGAGAAAGTAGGACTCAGGGTGAAGGGGAATGGTAAAGAAGGCATCCTTGAGGTCAAGAACTGTAAAATGAGAGGTAGTGGAGGGAATGTTTGATAATAGGGTGTATGGGTTGGGGACTACAGGGTGGAGGGGTACCACTGCCTCGTTGATAAGGCACAGGTCCTGAACCAGGCGGTAGTTGCCAGATGGCTTTTGGACCAGCAAGACAGGAGTGTTACAAGGGAACTGGTGGGAATAAGTAGTCCTTGAGCTAGCAGGCAGGTGATCATAGGCTTCAGGCCTTGATGGTGGGTCTTCGAGATAGGGAACTGAGGATGTGAAGGAAAGTGGGTAGGATTTTTGAGAAATATCTTAACCAGAGTATGATGTTTGGCCACTACAGGCTTGGAGGTATCCCATACGAGGGGATTAACTTCGTCAGGAGGGATAGGGGGTTGAGGCAAGGAGTTAGGGCAGAACGTGGCATCAGTTAGGAGTGGCAGTAGGAGGTGAGCGGATGATGGGCTTGAGTGTGGAGGGCCAGTGAATTGGAGAGTGGCCCCCACAGTCTGGAGAATGTCTTGTCCTAAAAGGGGGACTGGGCATGAGGGTATAATTAAAAAAGAGTGGGAAAAGGGGTGTCCCTCAAGGACACAGGCTAAAGGATGGGTTTGATTAGGACAGGAAGGCTTGCCATTAATTCCCATGACTGAAACCTGGGAAGGTATGCTAGGTCCTCAGTAGGAAGGCAATACAGAATAGGTAGCCCCATATCCACTAAGAAGGAAATGGACTTACCGGCTACCTGCAGCGTTACCCTGGGCTCGGCAAGGGTGATGGGGGTCTTCGAGTCTGGGCTGTGTCAGTCATCCAGAAAGCCGAGAAGTTCAAGCAATGGGATTGCTTCCTGCAGACTGGCCTGCCCTCCACATAGAGGTGCGGGGGGTGGGCCTGTGGTCCAGGACAGGCAATCACGGTGCCAGTGTCCAAGCTGTATGCAGTTTGGGCAAGGCTTGGTAGGTGGTCGGGGACATGGACACTGACGTGCCCAGTGTCCCTCCTGACCACACTTGAAACAGGGCCCAGGCGGAACGCCTCCAGAGTTCTTGGCTGGTTTCGATGGATACCCTCCACCAGGCACCTGGTGTGCTGCCAGCCTCAGAGCTGCCACAAGAGCTTGGGTTTGGAGGCTTACCTTTTGCTGTAGGTGGGCCTGGCGGGTGGCCTCAGCCTTTTCCTCTCAGCTGTTAAAAACTTTAAATGCCATGTTTACCAGGTCTCGTATGGGAGTTTGGGGGCCCTCCTCAGCCTTTTAAAGTTTCTTTCTAATGTCAGCTGCTGACTGAGTGATGAAATGGGTGGCTAGAACTATAGCCTCTGATAAAGAGGCCGGTCCACCCGGTTATGAAGGATCATAGCATTAATCAGTCAAGGAAGGCAGCTGGGTTTTCAGTAGGACCCTGAGTTACAGCTAGTGCTCGACTTACAACCACGGTCGGGAACGCAGAACGGGCATAACACGTTTTGGTCGTAAGTTGAGTAGGCTATATGTACAGTTGAAATGATGCACGTGGAGATGGTAGTGCTGCCGGAAGCTGGTCTGCATTGTTGTACACCCAGCTGGGCAATGTTTGCGCTGCCAGATGCGGAGCAGTCGTGGCTAGCGATTGTGGTCATAAAGTGGAGTGGTCGTAAGTTGCATAGGTCGTAAGTCAATCAGTACCTGTGTTTCCCTTATCATAATTAACTACCTTTTGGGCTGCGCTTTGCATGCCCGCTAGGAGGCACTGTAGCATTTGGTCCCGGTGGTGGTGGCCATCTTGACTGGTTTGATAATTCCAATTAGGGTCAGCCTCTGGGACCACAGCCGCACCTACTGGCATCTGATTGTTTGTGAGATGTGCCTGATCAGCGTGTGCCCAGGCTGCCGTAAGGATGCGGTCACACTCATCTGGAGTGAGGGAGGAGGACAGAATTATGTAGGTATCATGCCAGGTGAGGTCGTAAGCCTGGGTGAGGTAGCGGAATTCTTTGGTGTAAGCAGTAGGATTGGTAGAAAATGACCCTAGTCATTTCTCAATGGCTGATAGGTCAGAGAGGGAGAAGGGAACATGTACTCGGACAGTGCCTTCTGTTTCAGCAACCTCTCGGAGAGGACAAAGGAGGGAGGTTTCATTGTTAGGGGCACAGCGCGAGTGGGTGTGAGCACTAACATGGCTAGGTTGGAACCAGGAAGGGGAAGAGCTGGAGGGGGTTGAGATTCCGCATATGACAGAGGATTTGTGGGTTGGGCGGGAGGAAAGGACAGTTCTTTGGGCGGGTCGGGGTCGGAAAAGGAGGAGGATGGTGGAGGGGCTGAGGGCGGTGAGGGTTTCTTTGGCCAGGAGTACCTGAGCAATGGTGCACGAGGAACAGAGGGTGGGGCAGGAGCGAAGATGCCAGAAGGCCTAAACATAGGGGACCTCTGACCATTTACCATTTCTTTGACAGAAATTGTCTAAATTAGTTAGAATGCCAAGATTGAAAGTTCCCTCTGGTGGCCACTTGGACTGGTTGTCCAGAGGATACTGGGGCCAGGCCACAGTGGAGAGAAAAAGCAGCCTTTTCTTTTTTATGGAGAGGCCCAGCTTGGGTAAATTTCGGACTAGACATCGCAATGGCAACTTGGGGTCTAGGCGGGACTCCTGATTACCCATAGTTCCCTTTCTGTTGTGGGATAGTCAGGAGTGAGGAACGGCGTCCTGGACCACAACGCCCGACTACCGGAGGTTTCGGGGAAGGACAGGAGTATAGGGACGTCTCCACAATATTCCTGTCTTCTGGAACGGGTGAGCAGGGGCACCGGGACATCTCCGTGAGGCCCACAGCTCAAGATGGGGAGGAGTCCCTGACACGGCCACAAATACGGACAGGGTCTCCTCAGATCGGAGCAAACAGAGGATGGGGTTATGGACAATAGGAGTCTTACTGAGTAATGGCTACAGATGATTGGAGAAGTGGCGGCTCCCTGATTCACCTTATGGTAGAGGAGTCACTTTCCCTGGGGGTTGGGGGGGGTCTTTAACTCCCCCTGGGATTTTGGCACCACTTGTAAGGGTTATTGCCGAGTTTAAAATGAGGAAACTGAGGCCAGTATAAGAAAATTAAATGCCAATTTATTCAGCTCCCAGGCGAGGTTCTCTGGTCCAGGGAAAGGGGTCCTGGGGTGTGGGGTTTTTATGGCTAGGAGGAACGAGCAACAGCTGGGTGCTCTGATTGGGTCCAGGGGAGCGGGATTGAGACGGGGTGGACCGCTATTGGTTGGCGGGTTGTTGGGCGGGTTTTCTGGTGTGAGAGCTGGCCAGGGTTGCATTAGCCAGAGCTTTCCAAGGGAACCATGCGGCAGAGCTAGGTGCCGAGTGCTGAGACTGGTGCCTGGTGCATAGTCAGGTGCTGAGTGCAGGGGTGCAGGGGTGGGTGTGTCCGACCTCCCAGCGAGGCAACCGGCCTTACAGAAGTTATTTCTGTTTTAGTTTTCCTTGTAACAGTCTGGTCCCTCTGCTGTAGTACTGCTGAGGTCCACTCCAGGCCCTGCTTGCCTGGGGATCACCTGCTGCAACTGCACAACAGTAAGGGTTGCTACCAGTTTCTTCTTCTGTTGTCTTTGTCCCAGAAGGATACCCGCCAAATATCAGTCTGATCTCTCCTTTATGTGGTGACTCTTTGGATATATGGGGGTCAGGGAGCTGCTTGAGGAGACAGTCTGTCCTTCATAGGAGCTCAAGTGCTGAGCTGTGAGCTCCCTTATTCATTCAGAGCTGCTGGTCAGGTACTTTTAGGTCTCCTTCAGCAGAACTCATAAACCCGTTTTTTTCCCAGGTGCTCTGTCCCAGGGAGTTAGGGCTCTATATATGAGTTTCTGTTGTGCTGCTGCCTTTTTTTCAGGGCTGCCCTGCCCAGCAGGGAGGCAGCCTAGTCACTGTCTGCCTGCAGAGGCTTTGCTGAGCTGCTGTGGGCTCCACCCAGCTGCCATGTGAACTTCCCTGCAGTCCTGTTTACATGGGTGTAGTTAGAACTGCCTTGGCAATGGTGGCCCACCTCTGTAATGGTGGACTTTCTCTGTAATGGCAGGTTGCCTTGGCAACGGCAGACTACCTCCGTAGTGGGGTGCCTAGGTAATGGCAGACACCCCTCCCCGACAGAGCTGGACTGTCCTCGGTTCAGCTGTGCTTGCTGTGAAACTCTCAGCCCAGAGCGTTTCCAGTTGCTGTTTTTGTTGGGGGTGGGACCAGCTGAGCCTGATCACCTGGCTCCCTGCCTCTGAGTCCCCGCCTCCCCTTTTTTTTTTTTTTTTTTAGTTGAACGGTCGTCTCTCTCCCAGGTGTTCCAGTCGCCTGTTGAAAAGGCACCGGGATCTGTGTGATTTCCCGTGTGGTGACTCACTGCGCCAGCTGAAACAGCGGTGCTGAGATTCGTGGCATTTTTTTGCCCGGGAATCTCCTGGCCTGGCTCTCTGTTTCAGTCCCCTTTTTGATCAGATCAGTGGGTGACTGTGCCTTCCCGGGGCTCCAATCGCTAGCTAAAAGGGCAGCTGGACCAGTGTATTTTGTATGGAGAACCGCAGCACCAGGGTGCCGGCAAAGCAGCCACGCCGGCGAAAACAGCCACGCTGGTGACCCGTGGGGCTCCTCCACCTGGGAATCTCCTGGTCTGTGGGCAATAAAAATCCTTCTGGAAATGTGGCGTCCACTCACCCTCTGCGCTTTCACTGGGAGCTGCAATCCTGAGCTGTTCCTAGTCGGCCATCTTGGATCATCCCTCAAGATTCTTTTAAATGTGATTCTCAATACTAATGAGTAGAATCAGGGCATTAGATCTGCTCTGAGTCTTGTAATCCACACTCCAAAGGACAGTCCAGGGAATCAAACCTGGACTACTAACAAGGTTGAGGTTGCTCTTAGACTACTAACAAGGGGACAGCCAAGATGACAAGACCCAAGGCTACCATAAAATAACACACATAAGCTGCCTACATTCATAAGGATGCCACTAAATAATCAAGGTAAATTTATTTTTGAATTACATAGGGATCATGAAAGAGGACCATTAACTCTGTTATAAAAACAGTAGTAAAATACAGTACACAGGAATGCCATTTGAATGACAACAATGAAAGTAAAATAGCAAATGAAACATAGTAACTTTTAACTTTAAATACAAAGTGAAGCAATTTAATAAGAAATTTTGTTAATAAGAAAAATATATGTCCCATGTCTTTATTACATACTGTACAAAATAAAATATTGCACCTTTCATATAATAAATATATACAAAGAGTATGTTACAAATGAACTTTCTTTTAATTTAATAACCTTCAACATCAGATGTGATTGATGATTAACAACTCATGGGCTGGTGTGTCCTCCTCACTTTCCCCCATCTATTCCCAGTCACCAAACCCTCCACATACAGTAGTGCTCATCCCAGTGTCAGTGAGGCTGAAGTTAGAACAAAAGAAACTGCATGCTCAGGATATGGTAGAAAAACTCAACAAGTTTTTCCACAGACATATCCTAAGCCAAAATTCACTGTTTAGTTATTACTGACCAGGGACTAGGCCCAGCACAACCTGCTGCAGGTAACTTTGTAGCCAAGAGGCTGCAGGCAGCAAGTGTACAGGCAGCTGAGACCCTGATAAAAGAAGTATGACCACTTATTTGGCCTTATGTGCCATTTAAAGTCATAACTGCTGGTGTACAGGGAAAAGACCCTATAACGAAATCAGCTTCAGAATTTACAATTTAATGCTAGCCTGAACCCACTTCAGCAACAACGTTTACTCCAAACCTAACCTCCTTCCTGACACTATCACTAACACCAGCACTGGCCCCAATTTAAACCCAGTCCAACCCTGACCTAACCTGGTCCTAACCCTTAAAGCCAACTGTAACCTGAACCTTAACTTCCTTTCTCAACCTAACTCAATTCTAGCTCTAATCCTAAAACTAAAACCACCCCTTACCCTTTTCCCCAAATCTTAAAGCAAATCCTGACTCCAACCCCTGGTCCTTAGAGTAACTTCTAGCCTAACCTAATTAACTTTGGATTTACTGGAAAATCAGCTCAAAGCAATTATTTACTATAAAAATTATTTTCAACTATTGTGTTTCTTATTTGGATTACTGTCATATAAATTTTCCAAAATAAAATCCTCAGGAACACTACTTTATGCATAAATTAAGTCTAATAAGGCTTTGTTTTTCTGTTTGTGTGCAATAGAATGGTGCTTAGAAAAAGTTTCATTCACAGTTCTTAAAAGAAAGTTTTGAATATAATTCAAAATCAGTAGAAAAGGTTAATGTTCCCTCTTCTTTGACTTCCAAGATGCCTCATTTGGTCATAGATTTCTGTAGTTGTACAAATGATAGTAGTATCTACTCTGTGTTTTCTTCCCTGGGTGTTCTAAAAGCAAAGACAAGATGCCATCCCTCTGTGAATCCTTGGGTCAGTCCGTGTGACAGCCTATACAGAAGGAAGTTCTCTTTTTCACAGACTAAACTTAAAGATCTTTGAAAATGCCATTAATGCCAACATCTTAACAACTACGGGCCAGAGCTTCCAAAATGTGAATACCTTATAAACCTGTTGAAAACCTACAACTCGAGAGAAGAGGAAGGCATCAGTCACTGTGTTTCCCAAGTTTTTAGAATGTATCACTCTGTGCTAGTCTACAAATCACAGGAAACAGGCAGCACGTGATGATGTGCTCATCATGTTGGCAATTTCTTGATTTGACAGACATGATGAGCTCCCAAGCGCAGTGGCATGCATACTATGGTATTTTTGTTCATCCTTGAATACATCATTTAAAAATAAAATTGGAATATAAAACTACCATGGGAAAATTTCACTTTACATCTGAACAGTGGTGTTTTTGCTTCAACCTCTGTTTGATCCATAGAATCTACTTTTAAGAAATACATGTTTTTGAATGGACATGGGGAAAAGAGCTTTTATATTCTACTTTTATCTTCGCAGCAGCATCATGACCCCTCCGAAGGCTTATCGCTCTCGACGTGACTGGCAGCACCTTTGTTTGTAGGGGTCTAGGGAACACAAATTAACATGTTTTATAAACATACAGTACGAGTTGTGTCTGTGCAGTCTCCTGCAAAAAAGAAAAACCAATCTATAACATACAGCTTATTAAAGACCTACTTAAAAATTATTTTACTTTATGATAAGCCATAAATTGAGATCACAGAGTGAGATGAAGAAAGCAGTTTTGGGTTAGGGCCACTGTTTTGTACTCGGGTCAGAAGTGCACTGGACACCCTTTCAGCCCAGTCAAGTGACTCTCACTGCTCTCTGCGCCCTCCCAGCCCCTCTGGCCCATGCTGCTCCTTTTAGTGCTCAGAGCAGCAATAATGCAGGGTCATGAACTCTTTGAAAAACTTATGAAAGGTACACACCTGGTCCCTAGAAAAATAAACCTACAATTAATTTTTACATATAATTTCAGGACATTGGCATACCTACCCAAGCCCATCCATGCAATCTTTGTCTTAGCATATAAGATTACCAGGCAGAAGAGAAGTGTGTGGAGAGATTGCCAGTGCCTTTCAGAACGGCAGTAACCAATGCTACTGGCATGGTACTGATCCAACTGTTTTCTTCTCTAGAGAACATGGAGCTGCACCCACATAAAGGAATTCATCTCCTGATGTCTCAAGCTACCAAATCCATTCTGAATAGCCCATCAGATGGGACACGGATGAAGTAATCACAAGCAGGGCCTAGCACCGGGATGGTGTCATCAGGATCTGACGCCATCAAGGCCTCTGGGGCAGTGGAGATACCTGAGAGGTGTACGTACTATCACAGGAAGGCCCAAGACAGTGCCGCCAGGAAACTGGTTTCTTTTTCTGCACACAGTGTCTCTTGGCCACAGGTTTGCAACTCCTGGTGTGGATACAGTCGACTTTCCGAGACTGGAAGCCCCTGCCACAGGCTGCTGTACAGGGCTTCCAGGGGCCTGCAAGCCAACACACATCACAGGCCCCTGATGTGCAGTTCCTTCTTAAGGTGGGTCTGAAATGCAAAACAAAACAGAAAAACAAAAAATAGGAGAGGCAGGGTGTAACTTTTTGCTGAGACCAAGCCTTTTACCTTACTCTATATTCTATGTATTAAGGGTTGGATGGAGAGTCTAAGACCAAGACATCCCCCTGCTGTTATGCCATATAGTCTAGAATATTCTAGAACAGAATATGCCATATAGTCTAGAGACAGTAGTCTCCACCACCTGGGGCTGAGTGTGCCTGCTTAGTTGTGCTCTGATGAAGAAGGATGGCGAGCAAACCATGTGTTGCCACTGACTTCCAACCCCAAATCAAGGCTCACACATCCTGACTAGCTGAAACAGATCAGTCTTGGCAAGGAAGAGAGCTATTTACTATAATGATCTACAATAAGCCACCTCAAATGTGTTAACAAGACTTAAATTTTCTTTTTATAAGTGCTCAAAACATACTGTGGTGTATGACTTTATATGTGAGCAATCTTGTCTGCTAAAAGAAGTACTCTTATTTATACCTAAGTCACACCAAGACTTGCAGTCAGAAACTACCAAAGACCATATCAGAAGAATCTACCTCTGATTTCCTTGTCCTTTAAAACAGGAAGTTAATACCCTCTGGTTTTTGAATAGACATTTGCTAAAGAGGATAAAGCCAACGTAGTGGACCCACGTTGGGGTGTCTGCCCTTGTTTCCTAAGGCAGGGCTCCTGGAAAACATATTTGCACTGCATGAGGGTGTCTTCCCAGTCCCAAAGATGACTGGAAGAGGGCCCTAACTTGAGCTGGCTGAATAACTGTATTTCTCTTAGGATGTGGAGGTTGCTGGAACCAGGCATGTAAACCTGAAGCTTGGGAGTAGTAGGTGGCTATATTCTGCCACGTGGGCCACAGATAGAGAAAAAAAAGTTTTAATAAAGAGCAAAGAATGAAGCAGAAACACACAGAACTGCAGAGATGAGAGAAAAAAAACAATGACTTCCCATTTCTTAGTTTAGTCCTTCCTGAGGTCTGACTGCATGCTCCCTGTTCTCCCTTTGGATTCTATGATACATTTTTGTTATCCTATTAAAGGTTCCTTATCAGAGCACATAAATCCATAAGGATTGTTTTACGGGAAATGTAATAAATGGAGAACTCTAAAAGGGAGAGTGTTGCAAGTAGTTGGCTGCAACCCTTTAATTAGCCAGTAGGGGGAGACTCTATCAAAGGGTTTACTTAACGGTACTGTCCCACCAAACTGTTCATAAGGTTCATGGAAGAGGTGAATGTCCTATTAGCTGCTTCTGTTTTCCCCAGTGGGTATGACTCTTAGGGACCAAAAATTGAGTCACTTTGAAGAAAAGAGACTGAGTACTCCTCAACCATCTCCCTATACAAAGACCAGCTTTCCACTGAAAAACCTTGAACAAATATTCAAATAATATATTTAAAAGAATACCAAGTTATTGTGCAGAAGTGTTGGATGGTCTTAATAAATCCCTCGCCCCCTTTGCATAAATCATTCCAAGTTGATTTTTGTTTCTAGCCCAAGGGATTGTAAAACAGCCTCTTTTGCTCTGATGAAAGGCAGGGCCAGTGGGAAGTCAGAAAGGGCTATCTTTCTAAATACAGAGAATGAGAGGGGCATAGGGAGCCATGGACCAACACAGAAGCTGAAGCCCAGGAAAGCTCAGAGGCTGGTCACTGAGGACACAGTCGAAATAAATAAATGAATAAAAAGCAAGGTCTGTCCAGTAGAGGGCATCACTTCCTCCTGGCCAGAGACACATTAGCCAGGTGAATACAGTCTGGGCACCCACAGTACGCACATAATTGGGGTTCATGTGTTTTTCTACATGAAGCATGAGTATAGAAATGGCAGCAGAAATCATAAAGTAACCTGTTTCTACTAGCTTTTTTCAATTTCTCACTTCTATTCAGTCTGGCTCCACTTTTGCCTCAAATAACTCCTTTCACCATCAGCCACATGGAACTGCTGATTCTGAGATCCCAAGCCTGGCTGGTGATGAGAAGCAGGCCGAAGCAGACAGCTTTAAAATGATGTAGATGGCCGGGCAATTTCATGAAGGTTCTGATTCACTGTCTAAGGTAAGGCCCAAGAATCTTTATTTTACAGACATTTATTGGGTGATTCTGACTTCAGAGGTTAGAAGTCACCACTTTTGAGAAACCAGCTTTCTGTGTCTTCAGCATTCTGTAGGTCCCCATGTTGTCACCTTGCCATATATCTGAGATAGTTCTGCTCTGACAACTCCCATTCCCTCTACAACTTTTCAGTGGAAGCCACAGCTCCCAAACCTTTCCGAAGGTATATCGTAGACACCAGCAGACAGCCTGCCCACCACTGATCACTAACGCCACTAATGCTTCTCCTTATACAACACTCTAAACATTTCCTGAGGCCCTCCTATGGCAAATGGGGGGTCTCCATTGCTCTCTGTCCACCCACTCAAAAGTGAGTTCTAACACCTCCCTACCTACAGTGAGCCCACAGTCATACACCAATCCAGCAGAAGTCTGTGGGGAAAAGGGCCAAAGCACTGCAAAAGAAACCCTTGACGGCTCTCTCTACTAACCAACTTCATCTCTCATCCATAAACCACCACACATGTGCAGAAACAATATAACAGTATGAAAGAAAAGCACCAGGTTATAAAAACAGAACAGCCAATCCTGGAGGAAACAGAAATAAAAGAGAAAATGAATGGCACCTTGACTCCTCGCCACCCTGACTCACTCCCAGCTCTAGGAATTTTTCTTCCATTATTAAAAAAAAAGTTTACCTTTCATTTTACTTCCATATCTCTTGGTCTAAAACCCAGTTTAATCAGATTTTGAGCCTCTTGATAGATCCTTCTACTCTCTTAATCTTTTCTATTTTCTGCCTCTTACTTTTTGCTGCCTTTGAATGGAAAATACGTATTTAAGGAACTGACAGAAGGAAAATGTGGCTGGAACATGAAGAGTGAGAGAGCATGAGATTGTGGGTGAGGTTGTGAAGAAAAGTAGGACTTGAATGTATGTGTGTGGTTTTTTGTTGTTGTTTGTTTGTTTGAGATGGAGTCTCACTCTTTTGCCCAGGGTAGAGTGCAGTGGCATGATCTTGGCTCACTGCAACCTCTGCCTCCCGGGTTCAAGCAATTCTCCTGCCTCAGCCTCCCAAGTAATTGGGACTACAGGTGTTTGCCACCACGCCCAGCTAAATTTTGTATTTTTAGTAGACACAGGGTTTCACAGTATTGGCCAGGCTGATCTCGAACTCCTGATCTCAAGTGATCTGCCTGGCTCAGCCTCCCAAAGTGCTGGGATTACAAGTGTAAGCCACCATGCCTGGCCAAGCATGTGGTATTTTATAGGCCATACTGAGGATTTGGTCAATCTTCCTAAGAGAAAGTAAAGCCTCTAAAGTAATTTTAATCTAGCGGGGAGATGGGTTATGGTGTGGTAGGATCAGATTTAGATTTGAGAAAACTCACTCTGGCTGCAGTGTGAAGACTGGGTTGGAAAGGAGCATGGATGGCTGAAGGGGACCAGCTGGATAGCTGTGATGGTAGACCAGGTGAGAGATGAAGGTGGCTTGGCCAAGGGTAATGGTGGCAGAAAAAAAAATGTAGATGAGTTCAAGAAGAAAAAATACAAGACATAAGAAATCATATAAAAAAAAAGTAATCAGGAAAGTACAAATTACAATGAGATAAATTTTCATCCATCAGATTGGCAAAATTTTTAAAAGACTGCAAACCTATATCATGTTGATGAACAGGGGGCAGCTCTCACATACTGCTGGCATAGAAATTTTGATGGAAATTTGATGGGATCAGAGTGAGCATTCCTACCAATTCAATCCCATATCTAAAAATCTACCCTAAAAAGATTACCCTTGTGCACAAAGATATATGTTCCAGGATATTTACTGCAGCTTTGTTTATAACAGCAAAATTTTGAAACCATCCAATGTCCATTAGCAACAGAATATTAACTACAAAATTTAGAATAGAATATTAAGTACAAAAATTAAAAAGAATAGTTAATTGCTACTTGATGGGAAGCATCTATAATACATTCATTCTCAGGCAGAAAAAGCAAGTGTCAGAAAAACACATATGCAACCCATGTATGTATTTGTGTTATAAATATATCTTTGTGAATGCAAAGTAAAACATCTGGGATGATGCATATCAATCTGTGTGTGGTCTCTATTGTCTCAGCAAAATAGGAAACTAGGTTTCTGTTGAGAATGAAAGCAGCCGTTCCAAACATTTTCCATTTGAGGAGAATGATTCAGGCTTGAAATCACTTTGCGGGGAATAGGAAATGCAACTGACTCTACATTGCCAAACCTTACTGAAGGCTTAAAATGGTAACCCAGCCAATTGTCAAGGTCATCTCATCTTGTCCAGCAAAACTCAGGACACGGAAGAGGGAGAAATAGCTAGATACTGAGCATCTTCCATGACCCAGGCGGCTTAGGTGCTTCACAGTAAGTGAAATCATTAAAACTTTCTAACCGTAAGTTCACATGGATGATAATATTCCACTTTGCACATTCGGTGGCTAGGCAGTCCAAAGTCACACAAAAAGCCAGTGCTATAATAGAACTCCCAGGCCCCTGATTATAGTGTGCCTTCTAGGCTCTCTCCCCACTTTGTGCTGGCTGGGATGCTGTTCTCTGGAGTGGCTGAGCTGCCAGATGGAGGGCGTCTGGATCTCTGGATGACCCCATGAACAAAACTCTTCTATCCCTAAACCATCTACCAGCTTAGACTTTTATAAAAAGAGAAAAGCAAACTCCATTCTTATTTAAGCCCCTCAACAAGATTAAAGTTTGTTTCACTGTCTGCTAAACCACTGTGCCAATATCCTAATAAAAACATTTTCTAAACAGAGGAATAAAGCAGTTCATTAAAAGCATTAAGATTTAATCTGTAAGCCTAAATGAAATATTATTAGGCTTGATTAACTTAGTATGTAGAGGGAGAAGTATCTGCCTATTCTCAAGTGATCCTTTTTTCCCCTTTTACCACAGAGTGGTGTCCCTTTATGTTTAAGATCCAAATAATCTGTAATTATAAATAGTGCACATTAACTAGTATTTCAGTATAATATATACTATTGAAGATGGCACTAAATAAATAATAATAGAAAATGCCAGTATGAGATTTGGTAGAAACTAGAAAGAATTCCATTTTCAGGCAGTTACAATCATTGTCCTGAGTCAGGAGGGAATGTGTGTTGCTCTAGGGTGGGGCCATTACCTCCTCCTGTCATCACAGTTGGAGTCAGAGCTGTTGTGTTGACAAGCTGTGTGACGCTGCTGCATCCTCACGGCACGGCCCATGCAACGTCCAGGACACTGGAATGAAAAAGTACAATGCAGTGTAAACCCTGCAAGCTCACGCATGCTGTGTAAGCTCATGCATGCTGTGTGGTACTAAGGTCATGTACTGAGGCAGGATAGCTGAAGACCTGCTACAAGGGTACGGTAACCAGCTGTCCTCACGGGGAATTAGAGAAGATGAGAGTACACCTGTATGGACCAGACACCTCTTTTTCAGAGTCAGGAACATACTTCTAAGCTTCCTTTCCCCTCTGTATTAGTTCTTTTCACATTGCTATAAAGACATATCCGAGACTGGGTAATTTACAAAGGAAAGAGGTTTAATTGACGAAAAATTAAACCTCTTTCCTTTGTAAATTACTAGTATTTCAGAATAATATATACTATTGAAGATGGCACTAAATAAATCATAATAGAAAACTGCCAGTTATGAGAGTTGGTAGAAACTAGAAAGAATTCCATTTTAAGGAGTTTGAATCAAGTTCAGCATGGCTGGGGAGGCCTCGGGGAACTTAAAATCATGTCAGAAGGTGAAGGGAAAGCAAGGCAGCTTCTTCACAGGTGGCAAGAAGGAGAAGTGCCAAGTACTCCTCAGGTAGTTACCGCCACCTGGTCTCTCCCTTGACATACGGGGATTATATTCAAGAGGAGATCTGGTTGGGACACAAAGCCTAACCATACCACCCTCCTTTCTTCCACAAAACTTAGACGACCTCTGGGGAGAAGGAAAAAAGGACACGGCAAGTCTTCAATCAATTGGGCTTAAGTCCAGAAATGACTATGCTTAAACCTGTAAATGTCTGCCAAGTTTGGGTTTTTCTCCTGTGAGCAAAAATGAAGGCTCGTGAGCTAAGGTGAGTTTAATTACAGGAAAAAAATTTAAATTTTGATATTCAGTTCTCAAAATTTTTACTTATTTATCATGCGTATTAATTTGTTCGTATAACTTATTTTATGCTTAAAAAGGTCTTGCCTATCATGATAGTTCTACTTGCATTTACTTAGACACTTAGTTCTTTAATCAAGTTAGAATTTATTTTGGTGTATGTTCTGAGTCTGTGCTCTGATTTTACTTATTTTTCTTATATTAGCTAGCCAGTTTCTCTTATACTGTCTTTTTTCTTATTTTGACTAACCACTTTATTGAGATACAATTTACAAACCATATAATTTACCATCACATGTTAATGGGTTTTAGAGGTATGTAACCTGTACCATAATCAATTTTAAAACATGATCATCATCCGCAAAAGAAACCCCATACCTTTAGGAGATACTCCTACCTCCTCCCACTGCCTTTCCCCAGTCCTAGGCAATCATTAGTCTGCTTTTTCTCTCTATAGGTTTCCCTGTTCTGGACACTTTGTATGAATGGTATACTGAGTGGTCCTTTGCATCTATCTTCCTTCAATTACTGTAATATTTTCAAGGTTTAACCCTGTTATAGCACATATCAGTCCTTCATTCCTTTTGATGGTCAAATATTCCACTGTGCAAAGGTACTACAGTTTATCTACTCATCAGTTGTTTCCCCTTTTTTATCGTGGGGTTATATTATTTGGGTTGTTTCTACTTAATGACATTGTGGTTATTATGAATAATTCTTCAATGAATATTCATGTACAAGTTTTTGTGTGGACATATGTTCCATTTCTTATTTGTATTTTTTTTTTTTAATTTTTTTACCCTAGAATATGATCCTGAATGTTTCATTTCTTTTGGATACATACCTAGGAATGGAATTTCTGGGTCATCTAGTAGATTTAATCTAACATTTTCAGGAACTGCCAGGGTGAAAAAAGTGTCTACGCCATTTTGCATTCCCATCAGCAGCATGAAGGTTCCAGTTTCTCCACAACCTCACCAACATTTGTTGATACCTGTTTTTGACTAATGCCATCCCAGTGAGCCTAAAGTTTTATCTTACTGTGGTTTTGATTTGCATTTCTTTAATGACTAATGGAAAGCATCTCTTCATGTGCTTATTGGTCATTTGTATATCTTGTTGATACTTTGTGTTTTTATTACTGAGCTGTAAGTATTCTTTACATATTTTAGAGATGAGCTCCTTTTTGATACACAGTTTTTAAGCATTTTCTCCCATTCTGTGATTGTCTGTTTACTTTATTGATGGTGTCCTTTGCAGCACAAAAATTTTTAATTTTGGTGCAGTCCAATTTATCTGTGTTTTTTGTTGCTTCTGCTTTTGTTGTTATATCTAAGAAGCTATTTTCTAATCTAAGCCATGAAAATTTATGCCTATATCTTCTTCAAATAGTTTTATAGTTTGAGCTCTTTAAATTCTCTGATTCATTTTAGGCTAACATTTTGTATGGGGTGTAAAGGGCCCAACACCCTTTTCTGCAAATGATTCCCAATTGTCCTGCACCACTGCTTAAAAGACTATTCTTCCCCCATTAAATGGTTTCTCAACCTTACAGAAAATCAACTAATGTATACGTGTGTGTATGTGTGTGTGTGTGTGTATATTTATAAATATACACACACACACACACACATATACGGGTTTATATGAATGAAATTGAATTGAGTCCAGAGATAAACCCATGTATACATATGGGTTAATTGTATATAAATTAACAAATTATATAAACCATAAACTATATAAATTAACCCATATGTGTATATTGGTTTATCTCTGGACTCAATTCAATTTCATTGATCTATATGTCTGTCCTATGTCAGTACCATACTACTTGATTACTGTAGTTTTTTAGTAAGTTTTGAAATCAGGAAGTCGGAGTCCTGCAACTTTGTTCCTTTTCAAAATTGTTTTGGTTATTCTGGGTCTCTTTTATTTCCACATGAATTTTAGGATCAGCTTGTCAACTTCTGCAAAGAAATCAGATGAAATTTTGATAGGGATTGCGTTGAATTTGTAGATAAATTTCAGGAGTATTGTGTTACTTTTAATAGTAAGTCTTACAGCTTTCCATTTATTTAGATATTCTTAGTAGTTTTATAGCTTCTATTTTTAAAACAATGTTTTCTCCTATGATTAACTTTCTTTAAGCTTTAAACTCAATCTGGTCTGTTTCTGTGCTCTAACTATACACCATAACCTGTGTCTCTTGTGCACTAATGCTGTACTATTTTACTTATGACAGTTTTGCATCATGCTCTGACACAGGATGAGGAAAGCCTCTCCAATACTTTTTTTTTTTTTTCCTCTGAGACAGCCTCTTGCTCTGTTGCCCAGGCTGGAGTACAACGGTATGATCTCCACTCACTGCAACCTCTGCCTCCTGGGTTCAAGCAATTCTCCTGCATCAGCCTCCTAAGTAGCTGGGATTACAGGTGCAGGCCGCCACGCCTGGCTAATTTTATTTTATTTTATTTTATTTTATTTTCATTTTAGTAGAAGGCTGGTCTCAAACTCTTGAGCTCAGGCAATCCACCACCTCAGCCTCCCAAAGTGCTAGGATTATAGGTGTGAGCCACTGAACCTGGCCCAGTCCAATATTTTTTAAAAATAAAAATTTACAGTCTTTATTGTCATATTATCTCCCATGTGAATGTCAGAATGATCTTAAGTTCCATAAAAAAAATTTCTACTGTGATGTTAATTGGAATTACATGCATAAATTCATCTAAGGAAATCAACATCTTTGTAGTACTGAGATTTTCCATTCAGGAGTATAATAGGTCTTTTATTTGTTCAACTTTTACGTGTTTCAATAATGTGTTATATTTTTATGGATTCCTACACATTAAACTTTTTCCTAAGTATTTGATTAGAACATTATTAAAGGTGGCATTTGGGATAAAGATTCTGAGGCTTCAGTGCAGATACACCACTAATTTTGCCCTCCTCCTTTTCATGAAGGCTGCTTTTATTCTTACTCCCTTAAACTGGTCTGCCTTGGAGCTTCTGTTATGGCATCACTGCATTCAAAGAACCCAAACTTGCTTCACTTTTGTACTGGAAGACAGACATTATAATTTCTAAATATAAACCTTCAGATCAGAGACATACATTCATTTCAGAGACTAATCAGATTCCTGCCCCTGCCCCAGAAGTAGTTTGTTGAAAATAAGGTGATTATTACAGATAGTGCTGTCCACGTACTAGATATATTAGCTTTACCTGGCTCCCTGGTTCCCACTGAACACATGGATGACCAGAACACGGTTTTCTTCCCAGAGGCCGGTCTTTAGGGGCACATGCTCTTGGCGACACCACCTGCACAGTTCCATTGGCTTTTGTCTGCTTGCATGTCACCTGCCGACTGTGGTGTCCTTCACCGCAAGACACAGAGCACTGTGACCACACGCTTGTGAACCACCTAGGAACAAAAACTATAGGACTTTAGTAAGGACTGGCAGGCCAGACCTTAGATGAGGAGTCTCAGCAAAGGAAAAAGCTAATCCCAGTACATGGCTGTCTTGGGCTGTAATATCTCTCTCTGGGAATGGGTAGCAGCATAGATGATTCCCAGCCTTTTCTCAGACCTTCTTTAACTCAGGAGCAACAGTGTCATGTAGAGATGACGACTGTAGGAATGGGGTAGAGCTGTTACTTGTGTGCCCCTTGAGGGTAAAGCTGGGGCAAATTTAGGAGGAAATTTCAAAAAGGTAGAGTTCAGTTCACTAAAACTAAAAGGAAGAAAATGTATTTCCAGCATGTAAGTGTTGTTCACTCTACAAGATACTTACATGTTAGCTTGTATAATTCTATTATTCCCATCCTTGTAGAAAAGAAACTGACGTCCATTAAATTGAATAACTTAGCTATGACCACATCACTAACCTGCCAGCAGAGCTGGGATTGGATTCTGCATTTATCTGACTCTAAAGTTCATGCTTTAATGATTACAGGAGACAACCTGGAGCTGGACACTTTTGAGATACTGAGTGCTTCGTCACTGAAGATGCTGTTGCTGGGAGACCACAGAGCAGAACCTTCTAACCTGGCGTCCACGGTTATCCAAGAAAACCACATACTTGGATGAAAAAGAATTACATCTTCATTGTCACTAAGCTCTAACTGAAATTTAGTATTTTTCTTCAATTATAGAAACATAGGCCACAAGTACAGTAGCATTAATATCTGTGATTTTGTTACCAATAGAAATCATCAATATTTGCACATCACAATTATGACAAGTGTCTCAAAATATTTATATTCATCACTATATTAAAATTAAAGTACAACTATATCTTGTTATTTTGTATGTTAATAGAGAAGTAAATCTATATTGGATCTTTAAAAAATTTCAGTAAGTGAATTTCAATATAATTGGTTTCTTTTGTAATCAAATGTATTTTATTTTACTTATTTAAAAACCTTCTTGAGACGGTAGCCACAGTCCTCTCCAGACCACCAGAGGGAGCCGTGGCACAGAAATGTTGAATGTAGAGGGATCCGGGATTAGATGATCTCTATGGTCTCTTCTAGGTATGAAAGTGTCTGACTGTTTATTCTAGGAGTATGCAAAGGCTTTAGAATATTTGAGAAAAAAGACTGCTGATAAATTTCCCAATGTGGATTCTCTCCACATTTTGAAAATCAAGAAATGCCATAAAGCAGCTTTCTCAGTCAGGTTACTCCAAGTTATTGAAGCATGAGTCTGCTGCTTTCTGAGGGATGACCTTAGCATGAGATCTTCCTTTTGAGAATTACAAAGGGTATTGGAAGACATAGCAGTTAGGGTGCCTGCAATATTGACAGCCCTTCTAAGAACAGGCCTCAAGGCACCTATTTTGCTTTACACTGTGACCCTTCCTCCCACTTTCCTCCAAGGCACAGATGACTACATCTAGCGTGGACATCTGTCCAAGGGCATTGAGCTATATAACATTAAACATTACTCCAGTTTCTCATCAGTAAAATGAGGTGGATAACAGTATCTTCCTCATAGGTTTGTACTCAACAAATGCTTTGTTATTTGTTAATTTTTTTTTTTTTTTTTTTTTTTTTTACTATGTATTTTGGTACTATTTGGTCAAATATCTGCTAAGGTCTGTGTTGTAATATCATTCATTCATTGATTTCATAAATACAGAGAGTATATGATGAAGTAAACATTGTGCTAAGTGCTAGGAATAAATTGTTGAGCAAAACACCTGTGGATTTACTCCCCATAGAATTTAAAGTCCAGTGGGAGAGCAAGACAGACAATCGTGGTAAGAACTATGAAGAACAGTAAGGAAGTAAAAAAATAATACAGCATAGAGGCCTGATTTACATTGGAGGGCAAGTTCAGGGACAGTTTCCCTGAACATGTATTGAGGTACATACAGATGAATAGAAACGATTCAGTGAAAAGAAGAGAGAAGAGCATCCTAGGCAAAGGGAGAGGTATAGGCAAAGGCTCTGAGTCAGGAAACAGAATAGCAGATCTAAGGGACAAAAAATAACAGCATAGAAGGAGATCAAATCACTAGGGTGGGAGGGACAAGCAGTAAGACAGAGGGATAGCCCAAGGCCCCAATATAAAGGGACCTCAATTCCTCCACTCATTTACTCAGTCAGTAAATATTTACTGAGCATCTAACTATTGCTAGGCACTATTTTAGATGAGATAAAAAGGTGTGCAAGATAGTCGTAAGAGACTGGGGTTGTGATTATCACAACCTATCTTGTAGGCCTTTGTCCTAAGAGAAGTGTGAAGGATTTTAAGAAGAGAACTATCATGATGAATTTGTTTTAAAGATCTTTATTCTTAGAGAGTGGACAAAGTCCTCTAGGGAGGGAGATGAGAACCAGCAGGCTCTTGGAGTGATCCATGTAAGAAACAATGACGGCCTGGATTTCAGTGGTAACAGTGGAAATGGACAAGATTGGATGGAAGTGAGGGAAGGGAGTCTAGGATGTGGTCATTAAGATCTGACACACTGGGGATGGGGCAAGTTTGCTGGAGACCATGAATTTGATTTTGAACATTTTAAAATTACTAATTTGTATCACCTATTGCTTAGAAAGCTTATTAATTGTTTACCTTCATGGGTCAAGTCTAGAGAACTGTGTTTTTAACTAGTGCCTCTGGTGATTCTGGTCCACTAAATTACATCCTAGGTAAACCCAAGAAATTAGCCTTACTAAAATCTTAAGGAACTGATAGCCCTGGGTGTGCAGGAAGTAGATTAGGTGGTGATTAAATTAGCTATTGAATTATTATGTCCAAATTACTGCACCTTTTAAAACAAGCAAAAACTTGGTGTCGATGAGATACGAAGAATGACTTCACTTACCTTGCTGGGCAGTCCCTGATGTTACAGGGCTGAAACCCAGCCAGTGGCTTCTGGAGGTGATCACACAGGGCCTCACTCACTTCCTGCCCATTGGCCATCACACACTGGGGTCTCTGAATGCGGGCTCCCAAATGACCACAGGTGGCAGAACAATGTGACCAGTTACCAGCCTCCCAAAAAGGCTCTGCAGAAAGAAAACAAAATATCATGGCAGCCCCAAAAGGGAAATAATGAGCCGGAGAGGACATGGCCAAAGACCGCCATGAGATGTTTTTTGGTCAAGTCTGGTTCTTTAAGAGGCATATGGAGAGAAAGCCATCTTACAGGTGCAAGGGAGTCCTCTCAATCTTACCTTCCCTCAACTAACTTCCTGTAATAACTGGTGAGAATGGCAGCCAGAATGGGGTCTTGGACCCCAGCCTGGAGAGGGACTATCACAGGCCAGCTGGGTCTGCCAGAAAGATCCCAGAGAGAGGAGGCACTCTCAACAGTGGGCTGCCTCCCCAGCATTCTCTGAGCACAGCCAAAAGGACAAGAGAGGAGGACCTCTAGGGGATGCCCTAACGCGTTCAATTTCTCAAAAGTGGATCAGGCAGAGAAATGAAAGATGATTAAGCAGGAGGAACAGGGAGTAGGGATTAAGCAGTAAGGTTAAAGATGCATTTGAGATCTGTTTTTATTTTTCCATTAATTCTTAATCTAAACTTCAGATTGATCCTGTAACTGCATAAATAATTTGTCACAGAGACATCTGAAAATATAAACAGGAGTTTCCTTTACAAAAGTAGAAGCTGACCACTTCCAGTAATCCCAGCTTTTAAAAAATTTCAATCTCTTTCCCTGCTGACACTCAGTAAAAGATGAGGTAGGACATGATGATGATGGATTTGTGTGTGATCACAGAAGGTGCCAGATTTTCCTGTAATAATGGCAAGTAATTGATAGCTACCAGCTGTGTCCACAGGCTCTTTCACATAGTCGAGTGATTTCTTTGACTTGTTTTACAGTTTTTCTAATTTTTGAAGTTCATCTTAAATTGCACATGGCATCATTTGCAAAGCAAAAATATAAAATAGGTATTTTAGTTGGACACTAAGGATTACAGTTTATTTAAAAATAATTTTTGCCGGGCGCAGTGGCTCAAGCCTGTAATCCCAGCACTTTGGGAGGCTGAGGCGGGTGGATCACGAGGTCAAGAGATCGAGACCATCCTGGTCAACATGGTGAAACCCCGTCTCTACTTAAAATACAAAAAACTAGCTGGGCGTGGTGGCGCGTGCCTGTAATCCCAGCTACTTAGGAGGCTGAGGCAGGAGAATTGCCTGAGCCCAGGAGGCGGAGGTTGCGCTGAGCCGAGATCGTGCCATTGCACTCCAGCCTGGGTAACAAGAGCGAAACTCCGTCTCAAAAAAATAATAATTATTATTATTATTATTTTAAAAAAGTTATGTTTACTGAGAACCTCCCAGGTGACAGGTACTGAGTTAGACACTTTATAATCAATTTTTCATTTAATTTTCAAGATCATCTTACGAAGTTGACGTTTTTATTTGCAGAGGCAGAAACTGAGTGAAACAAAATAACTTGCCCAAGGTCTGTCACCTGTCAGCTGGACCAGATCCCAAGTGTGTCTGACTCTATTATGCCACATTTCACAAAAACACCTTGGCAGTTCAAGGCAGGACATGTGCATTCCCTTTAAAATGTGTGTCTTTTTAACTGAGGTATATAATTCATACACAATAAAATAATCAGATATCAGGTGTGCAGTTTTACAAGGTTTCACAATTGTAAGCACTTCCATAACCATGATCCAAAGCAAGGTATGCAATGTTTTCATCATCCCTTTCTTGCCTCTTTCCAATCAATTGTCCTCCCCTCCCAGGCAGCCACTCGTTCATTTCTATCAGTATACATTAGTTTTGCTTATTCTTGGACGCCTAGGCTGGAGTGCAGTGGTGTGATGTCAACTCGCTACAACCTCTGCCTCTCAGGTTCAAGCAATTCTCCTTCCTCAGCCTCCCTCATAGCTGGGATTACAGGCACACATCACCACGCCCAGCTAATTTTTGTATTTTTAGTAAAGACTAAAAATACAAAAGGGTATTGTAGTAGGGTTTAATCATGTTGGCAAGGTTGGTCTTGAACTCCTGACTTCAGGTGATCTGCCCAGCTAGGCCTCACAAAGTTCTGGGATTAAAGGAATAAGTCACCATGCCTGGCCTTTGCTTAGCATGTTTCTGAGATTCACTCATATAATTGTGCATGTCGGTAGTTCATTTCATTTTCTTTTATTGCAGAATCATGTTCACATTGTATAAATATACCATAGTTTCTAATCTATCCTCCTGTCAATGACTATTATCAATAAGTTGAACATTCTTAAACAAAGCTTTTTGTGAACAGTTTTTTCAGGTAAATACCTGTGAGTGAAACTGCTAGGTCAAGGGTAGGTGTATGCTTAACGTTATTAGAAGCCAGTGAATAGTCTTCCAAAGCAGTTTTAAACATTTTACACATGGAGCAGTGCATGAGAGTTTCAGTTACTTCACATTCTTGCCAAACTTGCCACTGTCAGTCTTTGTTTTTAGTTACTCACTGGTTATAAAATTGTATGTCACTGAGGTTTTAATTTCCATTTCCCTGATGCCATCTAGGTATCTTTTGTGAAGTGTCTGTTTAAGTCTGTTGCCCACTGTGTGTGTGTGTGTGTGTGTGTGTGTGTGTGTGTGTGTGTGTGTGTGTGTGTGTGTGTTGGGGGATATTCATTGTTAACTTGTAGGAATTCTTTATATATTCTGCATATAAGTTCCTTATCAGACATATGTTCTGCCAATATTTTTTCCAGTCTGTGGCTTATCCGTTATTCTTAATAGTGTCTTTGATGAGCAGATCTTTAAAATTTTGATGTGATCGGTCCAATTTGATAATTTTTTTTTTTCTATTTAGTGCTTTTTGACACAAATGCATTTGAAAAGCAGATCATGCCATATCACTCCCATATAAGACTCCTCAATGACCTCCCATGTTTTAGGAGTAAACTCTTGAGTCTTTACCTTGGACCTCAAAGCTCTGAGTAATCTGGTCCTCGGCCACTCTCCCACCTCATTTCATACCCCTCTTTCTCCCTCACTGTGCCCTAGTCGCATGAATCTTATTTCATTACAAGGCCACATTAACCTTATTCCAATTTTATGGTCTTTGCTTCTTTCTCATTTTTCTGCACAGATGGTTTCACCTCATTCTTTAGGTCTGGGCTCAAATACCACCTCTTAGAAGGCCCATCCCGACTGTCTTCACTAAAGTGGCTTTCTCCAATCACCGTGTATCTCACAGCCCTTACCACCGAGAAGTATCTTAAATATTTATTCACTGGTTTCTTGTCCATCTTTTCTACTGGAATGTCAAGACCATAAACACTGCCTTGTTCAACACTAGGACAGGGTATGTTAAATATTAGCCTCAGCCATGCAACCAATATTTGTTAAATTAATAAAGGAGTCTCTCTGAAATGCTAAGCTAAGGATCCTTTGAAGGGCTGATACGTTCCACAATGTGTATATGTGTGGTTGTATATTTGGGCATGTGTTTGTGTGTGTGTGCGTAGGAGGTGGCAGAAAAATGCAGGTAGTCCCAATAAACAAGAGTTTGACTATTCCAAAGGCTTCACCTTCATCAATAGCTTCATCCTCACACATATCCTTTTTTTTTTCATTAATTGATTTGAGGCAGTTCTTTTGATCTTTATGTTTCATGCCACATGTAATGTCTCTTTGTCTTTGCACACCGGGGTTTCTCTGACTGGAATTTCCTCCTTTTCCCGAACAAACATCATGAGCTACATGAAAACTCAGTTGACCTCTCTAGAGACAGGTAGGGCCCTTTCCTTGGTGCTACCATTGTACTTTGGTCATCTTTTTATTATGGAACTTGTCACACTGTTTTACAGTATCTGTTTACATGACTGCCTCCCTCCTCAGACTGTGAGCTTCTCAAGGAGGAGCTCATCTCTGCATCCCCAGACCTGGGAGGAGTAAGCACTGGCAAACATTTGTTGAATATCCAATGAATAGATGGATATTTGGGTATACAATAATGGATATAGTATTATGTCTAAACGGAGAGAAGAAATATATTCCACAAATGTCCTGAGATAATGATGTCATAAGTAACATGACGGATTGCTGACTGGCAGCTCAACACTCTTTCCCCCTTCTGTACTCTCTCTTGCATCTCAGGAGGTGAAAGCCTAGAGACTGTATTTCTTAGAATCCGTAAGTTATTTTATATAGATCCCTGAGTTACATTCCGCCTGATACCTTCTGCAAATGAGAGGCACTGCTCAAGATCTAAAAGGTAGAAACGACATGGCCATTGTTATTCCTGTATAATAGATGGAGTAAAACATGAGGTTTAAAAGTAGTTTCTTTGTGTCCCTGTTATTTACTCACTTTTGAGCTACAAGGAGCTGAGATGATCAGTAATGGCTTTCTGTGATTCTAGCATTTCTGATTTTCTTAACTCTACCTTGATCCCTTGGCCTTCTGCAGTTTTACAAGCCTGGAACGCTTAAGATTAGGTTTTCCTGATCAAGCACTGATGCATAACAAAGTTGGTGTGTATGGAAAACTGTGTCTTGAAAAAAGATCAATGAAAGAATCAATTCTAATACTCACAGCAAACTTCCATCTATTAATATTTACCACATTGGCAATAGTTTTCAAACTGGAAAATCAATATGTATGGTATCGCAAATAATAATGCACATTTGAGATATGAACTCTGTGGGGTTCCTCAGGAGTGGATTTTTCTAAAAAGTGTTTCAATATGGAAAGAATAAGTTGAACCACCAAAGACAGGGTCAAGAAAAAGGCTGGCCAAATGCCTAGAAATAATTTTATATATTGCAAAGTGAAAACCACAGATGGTCTTTTAGCTAAATCCTTTTCCTTACACATGCCCCACACATAGCAAATCTAAAAAGGTCAAAATCCTACCTCGAGGCAGGGGTTCTCCTGTTGGGTCACTGCTGTTGGTTCTAGTGTTGGTTGCCTGGAGAATGTACTTTTTATGTCCTTGGGGAAATACGATTTTACTCTCTGGCCATCTTCGTTCTGAGAAGAAAAAAAACAGTAGCACTTTTTATCAGTTAGACATTATCTAATTCTAGGTCCAGCTAGGGTGTTCTTAAAGACAGTTTCTAGGAAATGAGCCCTCTATGATACTGTTGTGCTCCTGCATACTCAGCTCATGATCACAGGTTTGGGATATACGTGTGAGTATGGATGTGTGGGGTGTTTTAGGAGTTGAGTTGTAGTTACTCACTGTCCTAGCATGTGGCATCTCTGTATGTTTCCAGGGTTTCTAGCCTAAACTGCAAGATGAAGAAAATATATTCAACATAATTACAAAAGGGTCTGGAGGAAGCAGATTGGTTGGATAGAGCTCTTCCTCTCAAGAGGAATGCTGGGAGCAGGAAAATGGGCAGTGTCCCCTAGGCTTGCATAGTGAGGAGTGCAGGCTTACAGGAAAGTTGTGAAGCTTGCACATAAGAGCAGAGGATGGTGGAGGAAGGCTGTGACTTGATCCCTCCATCAAGTTACCAAAGTCATGAGCTGCTTGGCTTCAGGGGATTCCTGAAAGAAGAGGTATGTCAGGTAGGAGTGAGACAAGCATGCAGATTCATGAGTGGAGATGGGCAAACGGAAGAAACAGGCTGGGGCTTCTCAGGGAGCATGGAGAAGTCATTCAATAACCAGACAGGGTTAGCCTAGCCAATCTGTTGAAAATCTTCCATGCCAAGATTTTGAAAGATCACAGAGGCTCTTTGGAAAAAGCCATATGGTGGCACACTGCTGCCTTTCTGATCAGCACTAGGAGTCCATGAGGGGTAGCAGGAAAAGCACCAAAAGAGCAGACTACATATTTGGGCACTAGTCCAAAATCTTTATGAGCCCAGGGATCCTCATAAATATAACGAGATTAAAAACTATCACCCACAACACTGTGCTATCATAAGTATCACAAGAATGAATGTACATCAAAATATTTCATGCATTAATTACAGCTATTCCAACCCCCTGCATTGGCACCCCCCATCTCTTTATATCTCTGGGCTCCTCTAACTGCCCACAAAGAAAATTATGGAGCAATCTCTTTCACGTTTTCTCCTCTTGGTTTAGCAATGGATTATGTATTCTTATACTAATTCTGCCAGTGATTCAAATTCAAGTTCATTTCCTCATGAAACCCTTAACACTAACATCTGGCCGGGTATGGTGGCTCATGCCTGTAATCCCAGCACTTTGGGAGGCCGAGGGGGGCGGATCACGAGGTCAAGAGATGGAGACCATCCTGGCTAACATGGTGAAACCCCGTCTCTACTAAAAATACAAAAATTAACTGGGCATGGTGGCATGCTTGTAGTTCCAGCTACTCAGGAGGCTGAAGCAGAAGAATCACTTGAACCCAAGAGGCACAGGTTACAGTGAGCCGAGATGGTGCCACTGCACTCCAGCCTGATGGAGAGCAAGACTCTGTCTCAAACAAAACAAAACAAAACACTAACAACATCTGTGTTAGATGCCGCTGATTCCAGGTGGTAAGACAGGGTGTTAGAATTTAGTGCTCGTTTTTAAGCAGGCAGTGGTAGCAATGGTTAAAAACATCTGATGTCCATCTTGTTCACTTCTCAACTCCAAAATCAACAAAACCGGGGCGTACTTTGTGCATATTAGAGGAGGCACTTAAGGAGCAATAAGAATTCGACACTTACCCAGCAAGTGGAGTACAGATGTTGCCACTGCCTTTCCAAGCGCATTGGTGGCTGTGCAGATGTAGGTTCCTTCATTTTCAAGGGAAATATTCTGCAACAATAGGGATCCATTGAAAAGCAAGGAAACATTGTCACTCAGAGATCCTCCTGTCTTCAACCAAGTTACATTAGGCTGAGGGACACCTTTGGAACAAAAACAAATATGATAAAGGCAATTCCTTTAAGAACAGGGCCACAGAACCACTCGACAGAACCACATTCACTGTTTTGGCCACGAGTCAGCATATGGGTTTAATCATATATAATAGGAAAAATGGCTATTTCTATTGCTATAGCTACTCTATGGCAGGTGGAGGATCCTGTTAAAGCAAAAAGCTTTGGTCTGCTGAACACGTGACTGGTTTACACACATAAGTTTTGGAGTAGAAGCCAAGGAGAGTGGGACGGCTCTGTATTGGGAAGGGAGAGAATTTTGAACGTGGGTAGGGTAGCCAGAGAGTGGTTGGAAAGGAGTTGGTAAAGCTGGCGCAATATGGAGGCAGAGCCAGAGTGAGAAATTCCCAGGGGTGGGTTGTCACAAGGAAGTCTGTGGAAAACATAAATATCTCCTAGAGGTCTTTAAGTTGTTTGCCGTGCATATGCAATGAAACAGTCCTCCCTCAGGAAGAATATACAACATTCAGGGAAACGGAGTTCATTAATTCTTTGTATAAGAGGATAGCTTCAGGGAGAAAGGGAAGTGCTGTGTTTCAGTTCTGGGTCAATGCAGTGAGGTGCAGGGACTGTAAGCAACACTGCAGGAGCCACAGAGGGAGCAGAAGGAACTGAAAGAATGTCTTTCCTCAAGCCTAGAGGAATCTTAGCATTTTGCTGGGCTGTGGAATTTAAGATTCAGAGGAATCGAGAAATTTCATTTGGTTCTTTTTTTTTTTTTTTATTTTTGAGATGGAGTCTCCCTCTGTAATGTAGGCTGGAATTCAGTGGCACAATCCTGACTTAACTGCAACCTCTCGGGCTCAAGCCATCCTCCCTTCCTCAGTCTCCAAGTAGCTGGGACTACAGGTGCAAGCAGAGCTAATTTTGTATTTTTTGTAAAGACAGCGTTTCCCCATGTTCCCCAGGGAGGCCTTGAACTCCTGGGCCCAAGCAATTCCCCACCTCAGCCTCCTACTGCACCTGACCTCACTTGGTTCTTAAGAACTGGAATAGCTTGAGAGGACACCAATAGTGCTCTAGGCAACTGTTTTTGAGGATGTTTTCTCCTTTTGCAGTACTCTGGCTAGTGAGAGTGGAGAAGACATGGCATGGCTTTCCGACTTAAAAAAACAAAACAAAACAAAACAAAACAAAAAAAAACCAGACACCACCACTATTATCATGACATGTGCAACACACCTTACAGTAGGCAAAATGCATGTTCCACGAACATGGTGACACCTGAATTCTCGTACTTAATCCTGTTTCCTGGGAGGCAGTCATTGTTAGCTGTATCCCGCAATTGAGGAACCTGGTAAGCCTTTTGACTTCAGATTCAGCTCTGTCCATTACATCAAGCTGGTTATTCAAGTCTTTCAAGGAACTCATTGTGTGGCTTTAGAGGAAACTGTTGATCTAGAAATGCTTAAATTTACGTGAAGAAACCAAAGACTGTTACTGGCACTGAAATATTGCCTGAAAACTCAAGGTGAAAAAAGGACTAAATTTCTATTCAAAGTAAAGGTGGAAATACATAGGGGAAAGAGAACTATCTTGGCTGGGTTGGGGTGAGGCTTTGTTCTCATTCTCAATAATTGTTAGTTCTGTAGCCTTGGGCAAGGCACTTGAGATTTCCACTGTCTCATCTGTGAAAGAAATCTGAAAGAAGAATGGGAACTTCATTGTGTTCAGATATACTATTTGAAGTTTTAAAAATCTGAGTCTGAGAGGGTTGCCCTTGGGATTTTTTGTCCTGAATCCTGTGGCTTTGTATGATCCAAGTATGGTCGGCAGAATTCTAAACATGTTGTCCCAAGATTCTCATCCTTTGATTACTCCATCAAATAACAATCTAGGCACTGGTGCGGAGGGAATTTGCAGATGTAATTAAAGTTACTACTCAGCTGGACTTAAAATGGGGCGGTATCTGGGTGGGCCCATTGTAATTCTGTGAGTCCTTAAAATCAGAAGAGAAGGACAGAAGCTATCAGGGACATGTGGAGAATGAGAAACTAGGAGAGATGAGGCAGAAGAGGAGTTCAGAGAGATTCAAAGTGTGAGAGGAACATGATCCACCATTGCTAATTTTGAAGATAAAAGGGCCCTGAGCTGGGGAGTGCAGGTGGCCTCTAAAAGATGAGAGTGGCCTTCAGCTGACAGCTATCAAGAAAATAGGAACTTCAGTTCTAAAATAATGAGGAATTCAGCCAATAACCTGAAGAAGCTAGGAAGCAGATTTATCCCCAGAGCCTCCAGAAAGGAATGCAGCCATGCCACCACCTTGATCTTGGCGTTAGATATTCTAAGTGGAACACTCAGTTCAGTAGCTCTGTGCCAAGATGACCCATACAACATAGGTGAGATAATATATGGGTATTGTTTTAAGCCTCTAAGTTTGTGTTAATTTGTTACAGCAGCAATAGAAAACGAATACACTGGGATTTGTTTTACATTTTGTTATAAAAACTAAGCTGGCCCTAAATAGCCAAAGGGATGCTAATTGCATGTGTATATATCTTTTTAGTATTTTCTTGTACATACATATGCATACAGAAAGGTTCAGCTTTCTGAAAGGTCACAGCTATTAAACATCGAAGCTGAGATTTATACCAATGCAATTTGATTCAGAACGTCTCTTAACCACAACATAGGTAGATCTTACACACCTCTTTTTTTTTTTTTTTTTTTTTGAGACGGAGTTTCGCTCTTGTTACCCAGGCTGGAGTGCAATGGCGCAATCTCGGCTTACCACAACCCGCCTCGGCCTCCTGAAGTGCTGGGATTACAAGCTTGAGCCACCGCGCCCAGCCTTTTTTTTTTTTTTTTTTTGGAGACGGCGTTTCGCTCTTATTACCCAGGCTGGAGTGCAATGGCGCGATCTCGGCTCACCGCAACCTCCTCCTCCTGGGTTTAGGCAATTCTCCTGCCTCAGCCTCCTGAGTAACTGGGATTACAGGCACACACCGCCATGCCCAGCTAATTTTTTGTATTTTTAGTAGAGACGGGGTTTCACCATGTTGACCATGATGGTCTCGATCTCTTGACCTCATGATCCACCCGCCTCGGCCCTCCCAAAGTGCTGGGATTACAGGCTAGAGCCACTGCGCCCAGCCTCTTACACATCTCTTAATATGTTTATTACTATGCATGTTATAGCTTTTTGCTGTTGCAGTAAACAAGATTTTAAAAAATGCATTTTGTAGTTGTTTACTGCCAACACTTAGGAAAGCTATAAGCATCTGCATATTTATCTTGTTTCCAGTCATCTTACTGAACTTTATTATTTTGAATAGTTTTTCAAATTGATTTTCTTGTTTTTTTAAGGTAAATAATTATATCATTTGCACATGACAATTTTCTCTTCCTTTCCAATATACTTCTGATTTCTTTTTGTCTTACTGTATTAGTGTCTCTAGAACAAAACTGAGTAATAACCACGATAGCAGGTACTTTAGACTATTTGTGTCCCCTCCCCAAATCTTGATCTTGGACTTCCTTCAACATAGAAAGCTTAATCTTGGACTTCTCATCCTCCAGAACTGTGAGAAATAAATTTTCTGTTGTTTATAAGCCACTGAGTCTATAGCATTCTTTTATAACAGCCCCAATGGTCTAAGACAGCAGCATATTTCTCTTGCTTCTCACTTTAATGGGAATATTACTAATGTTTCTTTCTTAGGCATGATGGTTTTTTTTTTAGTATCTGACAGTTATCATGTCAAATAAATTTCCTTCTATTTCTAGCTTACAGGAAAATTTCTCAGTCTTTAACATTTAGTTTATTTGCTCATTTTAAAGCAAATCATTTAAAGTTATTAATTTTATTCTGAATACAGCTTTGGCTACATAGCTTATGTTTTGAAATGTAATACAACCATTTCATTATTTCATTCCCTTAGTCAAAAAATGCGTATGGCGTGCCTACTATATGTGAGACTCTGTGCTGATGCTAAGAATAAAATGGTGAACTAAGTTCCGTGCAGACCTTAATCTAGGGTGGGCCCATGCATCAAAAAAGCTAACTGCAATAGAGAGAGATAAGAACACGCAATAAAGGTAAACACTAGATGCCGCTGAGGCACAGAAGCTGTGCCTCATGTAGACTAGAGAGATAGGGAAGACACCTGTAAGGAGGAACATGGAGTGCAGATGTGGGAAAGCATGGGAACAGGAGCAAGAGCCAGACTTTTCATGGCATGGTGCCTTGTTTTTTGACTGAATGTATTACCTGTATCACCTACCCCCAACTTTTAACAAGTTAATGACAGAGCCCAAAAACATTTCTGTGATTTAACTTCATGTTAAATTTTCTCTTGGGGTCCCTTTTAGCTCTACAATATGTGTGTGATCAATTCATTCATTCATCCATCTCTTCTTTCATATATTATTTCATTGTTATTATTTGCCCTCTATGACCAGTATTATTTTATAGTATTATTACTATATTAATCTCAGGCCTCCTCAGTAGATCATGGGTGCAGGCCTGGCAAAGATTAGATGTGTGAATGTTTGCTGAATGCATAAATGAATACACTAGGGAATGCATTTACTAAAAGAAAACCATATTCTATCCCAAAGATACATCGGCGTGACCTTTTTGGTTATTCAGGCCAATGCTCTCTTCCAAGCAGCGAAGAGAATAACGTGCTGACTGTATGGTAAAATCCTCATCAACTCAGATGCTATTGTTTTGGAATCTATGGTAATTCGGAGAAGGGTTATATTAGCTAGAAAGAAAGAAAATCTCCTTAAACATTTGAGGGGGAACAGTTGAAATCATTTCATAATTCCCTTCAAATACTTCATTGGCCTCCACAACATATACACAATTGTTATGTGAGTATAAATCAATATTTATAAATTAAAGTGGTTTCCTTTAAGATCCTAAGTAATTCTCGCTTAAATGACTGAACATTTTAAAAAGTAATTCATAGACTTGAAAACATTTTACAACTCAGGGATGTTTATTATTTCAGAACTGCCTCTTA